AAATGGTTATGACTTACAAGGAGATGACCGCTACAATCTTTGGCTTAGTCAATATCATTCTCAATCATTACAAAGTAAGAGTCAAGTATGTTGCACTATAGCATTTAATTCAGAATCTGCATGTGAAGTATCAGCTGAGTGAAATGTAAAAGTGCACAACAGCTGTCTAAATAAAACCAATAAAACTGTATTATTATGCCTTAAATAGAAACACCTACTGGTCAAAGAGGAAGAGGAAGGAAGATTGAAGGTTAGTGGTACAATATATACATTAATCGTGTCAATCATTTATACCTTAAATAGAGACACTCACTGGTCAAATTACTGTTGGAAGAGGAAAGAAGGTTGATGGTTAGTGATACCAGTATGTCATTTATCATTTATACTTTAAATAGAGACACTCACTGGTCAAATTACTGTTGGAAGAGGAAAGAAGGTTGATGGTTAGTGATACCAGTATGTCATTCATCATTTATACCTTAAATAGAGACACTTACTGGTCGAACTACTGTGGGAAGAGGAAAGAAGGTTGATGGTTAGTGATACCAGTATGTCATTCATTATTTATACTTTAAATAGAGACACTTACTGGTCGAACTACTGTGGGAAGAGGAAAGAAGGTTGATGGTTAGTGATACCAGTATGTCATTCATCATTTAAACTTTAAATAGAGACACTTACTGGTCGAACTACTGTGGGAAGAGGAAATAAAGTTGATGGTCAGTGATGCCAGTATGTCATTCATCATTTATACTTTAAATAGAGACACTTACTGGTCGAACTACTGTGGGAAGAGGAAATAGAGTTGATGGTTAGTGATACCAGTATGTCATTCATCATTTAAACTTTAAATAGTGACACTTACTGGTCGAACTACTGTGGGAAGAGGAAAGAAGGTTGATGGTTAGTGATACCAGTATGTCATTCATCATTTATACCTTAAATAGAGACACTTACTGGTCGAACTACTGTGGGAAGAGGAAAGAAGGTTGATGGTTAGTGATACCAGTATGTCATTCATTATTTATACTTTAAATAGAGACACTTACTGGTCGAACTACTGTGGGAAGAGGAAAGAAGGTTGATGGTTAGTGATACCAGTATGTCATTCATCATTTAAACTTTAAATAGAGACACTTACTGGTCGAACTACTGTGGGAAGAGGAAAGAAAGTTGATGGTCAGTGATGCCAGTATGTCATTCATCATTTATACTTTAAATAGAGACACTTACTGGTCGAACTACTGTGGGAAGAGGAAACAGAGTTGATGGTTAGTGATACCAGTATGTCATTCATCATTTATACTTTAAATAGAGACACTTACTGGTCGAACTACTGTGGGAAGAGGAAAGAAAGTTGATGGTTAGTGATACCAGTATGTCATTCATCATTTATACTTTAAATAGAGACACTTACTGGTCGAACTACTGTGGGAAGAGGAAACAGAGTTGATGGTTAGTGATACCAGTATGTCATTCATCATTTATACTTTAAATAGAGACACTTACTGGTCGAACTACTGTGGGAAGAGGAAAGAAAGTTGATGGTCAGTGATACCAGTATGTCATTCATTATTTATA